TAAATTAAAAATAAAATAACCTTTTGTGTTAGTCTGGGTCCCCTCATAGTGTTTTCAGTCATGTGTAATTGTACTTTATTTTCAAATGTTCCCATACCCACTGCCCTCCCCTATCCCCTGCACAGACTCATGCAGGCTCCCTGATGGCTGCTTCAATCTCCAGGAGCCCCTATGAGGCCCAGTTAGTTGATTTTTTTTTTGTGGTATCCTCTACCCTTTTGGCTTCTACAATCTTTTCTCCTCCTCTTCTGTGGGGTTCTTCTAGCTCTGCCTAATGTTTGATGTTGGGCTCTGCATATGCTCTCATCTGCTGCTAGAGGAAGCTTCTCTGATAAAGACTGGGAAAGGCACCTTAGTATATAGCAGAATATTGTTAGGAATCTGTTTATTGCCTTTTTAAGTTTTTTTTTTTTTTTTTTTTTTTTTTTTTTTTTTTTGCCAGTCTTGTTTAGTTCTACCCCAGGTCCCTAGGCTATAGAGACACTGTTCCAGGTCATTTAGAAAGTGTCAGGTATGGGTCCCTCTCTTGGCCTGGGTCTCAAGTTAGACTAATCATTGGTTGGCCATTCTCATATTCAGTCTAATTCTTCCTAATAGCTACTCTGACTAATGTGTGATTGAATCTCAAAACAGTTTTAGTTTGCATTTTCTTGATGACTAAGCATGTTGAACAATGTTCCACTTATTTATTGGCTATTTATATATCTTCTGAGAACTTTCTGTTCTGTTATTAACCCATTTTTTTATTGGATGATTTGGTGGTTTGATATTTAATTTTTATAATTCTTTATATATCCTTAATATTAATCCGATATCTGATGTGTAGTTGGCAAATATTTTCTCCCACCGAATAGACTGTCTCTTCACTCAGGTGGTTTTTGTTTTGCTTTGATATTTGTTTGTTGTTTGTCTTATTGAATTTCTTTTCTGAAAATTGTTTTTCCTTTTTTGTGAGGAAGAAGGAGAGAATCTGAGATGAGTTGGTGGGGGAAAATATGCTCAAAGTATGTTGCATGGAAAGTTTTTAAATAAAATATTTTAAAGGGAATAAAATTGCTTTACTCCTCTAACTTTCCTCCATTTTTAAAAAATTGGGTCATTGGTTTCCTTGACTCTGTTTTCTGAATTCTTTGTATATTCTGTATGTTAATCTTATGTCAGATATATGTATCTGGTAAAGATTATCTCCCATTCTCTGGGTTTCTTTTTCACTCAATTGACTGTTTCCTTAGCTGTACTAAAGCCTTTTAGTTTTATTAAGTCCAAATTGTAGATTGTTGGCCTTAGATGGAGTTCTATCCAGAAAACCCTTTCCTGAACCTATATCTTGCAGAGTACTACTATGTTTTCTTCTAGCAGTTTTAGTGTTTTGGGTTTCAAATGGAGGTTTTTGATCTACTTAGATCTAATTTTTGTGCAGGATAATAGAAATGGGTCTAACTTCATTCTTCCTGTCCTGTTCTTTTATGTAAACATTTATAGTTTACACGTTACTCTTCGAACTGCCTTAGCCATAGCTCAAGGATTCTGGTAAATTATGCTTTTGTTTATACTTGGTTTTAGGAACTTTTAAATTGGATCATTAGTTATTCAAGAGTGTAGTTTCTGTAGTTTTTCTTGCTATTTGTTTCTACTTTTGTTGAACTGAGATCTGACAAGCTTCAGGAGATCATTTGAATTCTTTTGTATTTGGTGAAAGTTGATATGGGGCAATGGATTTGTGCCTTACTTTAGTGAAGATTTCATAGACAACTTAGGAGATGATTGTTTGTGTTGGATGTAATATTCTGTAGATACCTGTAAGTCCATTTGATATTGTATAGTTTATTTCTGAGGTTTCTTCGTTGGTCTTTAGTTTGACCTATCTAGAGATGAGTGCAGGGTATTGCAATCACCCATTGTTTTCTCAGTCCCTTTGCAACATTTATTTTAATTTCTGTTTGTGTTATGAAACTGGAGGCTCCATTGTTTGTTGTGAGTAGATTTACAGTTGTCCTATCTCCTTGGCAAATTTCTCCATTTGTTAATATGCCATGGCTTCTTTATCTCCTCTGACTGATTTTAATTTGAAGTTTACTTTGTTAGATAACAGACTGACTGTGACAGCTTGTTTTCAGTCACTTTTCACATGAAAGATTTCTTTCCCCTCTTGTTCTCAGTCTTTGGTATTTTTATAAGTATGATGCTGCTCTTGGAGGTAACAGAAGATAGGATCTAGATTTTTATTCCATTCAGACAGTCTCTGCCTTTATGTTTGTGAATTTAGGCCATTTATATTTAAGGTTATATAAGAATTGTTTACTGATTCCTGTTATGTGCTGACTGTTTTTTCTGTTTGGCTAGATTATTATTTGTTCTTCAGTTTCTTCTTTGCTGGTATCAGAAGTCTACTGGTTAACTGTGTTGGATATGGTAGACTCCTTCTCTGGTCTTCATTGTTTAACCATTCCTCTCTTGAAATTTATTCTCTTTCTTTCTTTCTTTCTTTCTTTCTTTCTTTCTTTCTTTCTTTCTTTCTTTCTTTCTTGGGGGTTTTTTGAGACAGGGTTTCTCTCTGTAGCTTTGGAGCCTATCCTGGCACTCGCTCTGGAGACCAGGCTGGCCTCCAACTCACAGAGATCCGCTTGTCTCTGCCTCCTGAGTGCTGGGATTAAAGGCATGTGCCACCAACGCCCGGCAATATACTTCAGTTTTAATTGCCTATTTCTGTATTTTGCTGATCTGTCTTTACATTTTGAATGAATGCCCCCCCCATTTTTCTACTGCTTTGTAGGGGCACTTCTATATTATATTGTTTCTTGTTCCATGCTGCTTCATTGGTTTAGTGGTTGGATTTATAGATTTTACATTTGAACACATTATATTATATTCAAATTTTATGAAAATTAATATCTAGTAGAAAATATAAGTCTTATATTTTAGTTTTAGTGAATTTTGCTGTCTAGTAGGGCAAGTTTCTTAGTATGTCTTTTGAAGTGTCTGTAGAAATATTTAGCTCATTATGTTTCTGTATTAGGAAAACTTAAAGAACTTTGTGTCAAAGTCATGAAACCCTGAGATATTCCTTTTCATTATATTTGGTTTGAATTATGGACCAAGTTAGATAGAATTAACTCTCTAAAATCTTAAGTCTTCTTTTCCTTAAATGTAACATATGCATATTTTCTGTTTAGCTCTCTTTAATTAGGTAGTCTTTCCCCACTCCTTTATTGACCCTGGTTTATGTGCCTCAATTACGAACAGTTTCAGTTTGTCAAACCAATGATCCCAGATTTCACTGTTCTGGAATCTGAAGCCCTTTGTACCTGTTTTCTCTGAGTACCACTGTAGATGCCATTGGCTTAGAAAGTTTGAAACACAACTTGAAGCAATTATGTGGTGATTTTCATTCACACCCATTTGTTTTTATCCTACATAACTCTTACCTCTAATATGGTATCTGCCAACCTTGTGACTGGCATTGCTTTTTTTTGGTGACTACATTTTCTGTCTCCATCAGGGACTGAACACCATTTCTCTTAAAGATACTTACGTGAAACTTTCCTCATTGTATATGCCTTTTCTAAATTGTCACCTCCACAGAGGATATCTCTGATGACCCAATCTGATGTTACTCTTTACTCATTTTCACGACAACTCACTGTGCTTTCTTGAAAGTTTGGCTTCTGGTTGGAAATTATCCTGTTTATGTGCTTATTAACACTGAACCTATTGTTAGTCTTCTCTCAACTTTTTCCTCTTACATATGCTACATGAGAATAGTAACCTCTTTTGTATATATTTAGTGCTCAATAAATATTTGGTGAATAAAATGAGCTATTTTCCACACTAGGTCTGGTGACATTTGCAGTATTAAAAAGGAGTGAGAGTACTGCTTCTTGAGGATTGACATGGATTTCAGGTCTAACAGAATGACTTGGAGGTGACAAATGGGCTCAATAAAGCAACAAATCATTGGATACTACTAGCATCTGGGTAGATACAATTTGAATCATTATAATAGGCATCAAATAATTTAAAAATGGAATAATATGCAAATGTATATACATTTAGAGGCAAGCATTACATTCACTACTTAAGAAGTTACCAAGGAGATTAGAGAATAAGATAAAAGAAAATTGAATTGATTAAAATTCACATATCAAAATTCTTTAATGGTAATTGAAAATAATAATTATGAAAAATTCCAAGTCCTCTCAAAAAGGGATTTATGAGAAATTCTGTAATTCAGGTTGTTCTTGAGATAAAGTAGTAAATAGTAAGATGGTAAGAAGTCAGGGGAGGCTTAAATATTTTTGGTAGCTGAGACCAGAGAGACTTCTCCTATGGGTTGACATAAAACTGACATCACCAGTAGTATTTGAATGGCTATTATGCAACAGGTTTCTTTGAGATTGAAACTAAGATATCCTGTAGGGAGGTTCCTTAAACAGGAAGGTAAATAGCTCAAAATAGTTTCAGGAAGTCCCTGAAACTTATCAGATTCCTTAGGCCCCTCCCTGCCAGACTTAAATAAGTAGAGTTAAACAAATTCCAAAGAAGACTCTGGGACAAGTGAGCTGTCTGGAAGAGATTTAGACTATTTGAGGCACCTGTTGAACTGCCTGAAGGCTGTGCAGTGTGCTCTAGGTTCCCAGCTTTGCAAGCTGTTTTCTCTGCTGGGATGGGCTTTGATGGTACAGCTGTTTTTGAGCCATTTCTGCTCCTGTAGGTAACCCTCACTCATACTCCTGTAAATAATCCCAATAAAACCCATTGGTTGGCCAAATTGGAATATAGTGGTATCTGTATTGGTCTGTTGTGGGTTCCCTAACTGGGGTGAGTAGATACATGTGTTGTTTCTCCCCAGAAGTTTGTCACACAACAGCAGCTAATAACATGTGAAATGCTATGGAAATTTGATGGGGGAGGTCCTTCTGTGTATATGATTGTCTGATTGGTTGACAAAGTACTGTTGGCCAATAGGAAAACAAGATAGGTGGGACTAGGAGTCAAGGAGGATTCTGGGAAAGGTAGGAGAAAGTGCAGAGTCACCATGTGAGCCTGGAAAGACAGGACGCTTGTTGATGACATTCAATAAGGTAAGTCTTATAAAATATATAGATTTATGATAATTAAGACAGAGCTAGCAGATGAATCCTAGTCATTGGCCAAGCAATTTCTACCTAATATAAGTCTTTGTGTGTTACTTGGGACATTAACGTGGCTGCAGACCGAACTTGGGTGGCCTGGCAGAAAGTACCCACGTGGCAGCAGGACTCAGGGGGCTTGGTGGAAAGACTTATTGTTACAGAGCTTTTCTTCATAATATTCTTCATTGTGTGTTTAAGTCATAGTCCCCAAGATCAGGAGAGTAAATCACTGATGTGACATCAAAAGCACATGACTAGTGTTTCAGTGGTCTGGCTTGGCAGTCTTGTAGGTTGAACAGAGATTTAGATGACCCTAAGTGTCATTTCCACAAATAGTTATGGACATGTATGGCTCAGAAGAAAATCTGAATTTATTTTTCTTGCCAAGTGGCTAGAGTACATATGTTTATGTTATTATATAAAACAGCCAATGTACAAAAGCTTTTGGCTAATTTGAGAATAAAGATGGGAATGCTAGAGTTTCTCTTATAAAGCAGTCCCAAATTGGTTCTACCACAGGAATGAATGGCTAATAGTCTGGAATTCTGCCCTACAAGAAACATCTATTTATCCATAATCTAATGTTTTTTGAGCCTGAAGCTAAGTCACAGGGCAGATGGTTTTTTAAAGATTTAACTAGCTTCAAGGACCTTGGGCATGCTTAGGTCCACAGGTACCCATACCCTGGCCAAGAAATCTGTTCCTGCAATCAGGCCCTCATTTGCAGTTTCAGCAGCTCCTGGTATTTCACAATCAGAACTTTTTCTTCTTTAAAGACTGGAACACATCTTAGGCTGCATATTGCCTTCTAGATGCTAATGTATAGCATTGTTGTGCTCATTCATTCAACATAGTATATCATACTTCTCAGAATATACCACTGTCTTAGTTACTTTTCAGTTGCTGTGACAAGGCACCATGATCAAGGCAACTAATCAAAAGAAAGGATTTAATTTGGGGCTCATCGTTCTACAGAGTTAGAGTTCATGACCATCACAGTGGGGAGCATGCCAACAGGTGGGCAGGCATGGTGCTGGAACAGCAGCTGAGAGCTCACACCTTGATCCACAGGTACCATGCAGAGAGAGCTAACTGGAAATGGTGTAAGCTTTTTGAAATTTCAAAGCCTACCCACAGTGAAATACCTTCTCCAAGGTCATACCTCCTCACCCAGTTCCACCAACTGGGGACTAAACACACATATGAGCCTATGGAGGGCCATTTTTATTCAGGGGCACAAGATAGATACCTTAGTTTTGAGATTTTCACTAGACAGCTAAGTTTGACTACTGTATAAGGACAGTCGAGTCTCATGTTATTCTGTGACAAGTATCTTGGTGCCTACAGTTAGTGCCTTGGGACTGATGGCATTGCCAAGGAAGGGATAACTGCTTGGTTGATTGGTTATTACCAAGTTCCACTGTTCTTTACACTATACCACATACTTGGTCTTACTTGTATGACCATGCCACTTGAGTTTTTGCTTACTTTCCCTTCCAGTCAAGCCCTTCTCTTCCTGTCAAATCCTTTTCTGACAAAACACAATTCCAAAATTCCTAAGACTCAATCACATTAGATTTCTATTATGAGTAAACCCCTCCCTCCCTCCCTCCCTCCCTTCCTCC